AAAAAATATATAGTTATATATTTTTTAGATAGATTTATTAATTATTAAAGCCTAGACAAGCTTTGGACAATCTTAGACACTTGGACAATTTTGCAAAAAAGGCTGTGAACAGCCAAAATGTACAACACTGTATATATGTTATTCGAATCAAATTTATTTCTATTTTCAATTACGAAAAAAATCCTTGTTATATCTGATATTGTGATAGTATAATAATTACGAATGTATATATTAAATCATGTTATTTATGAAACATTTAATTTAAGCCACCCTCGCAATGTACGATTATATTCTGAGCAAAAGAAAAAATAAAATAAATAAAAAATAAAGAACAAGGAAAAGATATAGCATAAAATCCTTCTTCGGAGAACTGAACCTGTTTGGTTCAACGTAAACTTATACTCATGACTGACTATTCTCATATCACTCTTTTAAATTGCCAAATTAGAAAACAAACCGTTAATATTTAAACTATTTATAATAAAACCAATTAAATATCAATTCAAATATCAAATAAAATGTTTTAATATAATCGCCATACTGTATGAGTTATTTTTGCCTATAAATGCTTCGATCATAATAAAAAAAAATTTTTATACATCGTCGTCGTTTTCTTGCAAGTATCTTATAATTTCTTTTTTAAATGAATCCTTGTTAATATTTTACATAAAACATCTAATTTATAAATTTCAATCTCAAAACTGTTCATTCACTTCTTTATATTTTTTTTATATTTAATTTTATTTAGCTGTCCTTTAAATATGGCATTACTATCATCACCAGATACGTGTGTTAAGTGTGAACGAACCCTTAACTATTATTCGTGGTGTCCATGCCAAAACGAAAGTAACGTGCGAAGTTTTAATAAATAGACCAGTAATGATAAAAAAATGGATAATCTTATTCAATTTACACAGCGCTGCGCGCAAAAGGGTATGAATTACCTTGAATGGATTCCATTTGATGATCTTGATTGTATTAAACTTAAATCGCGTGGTTCCTTTAGCACTATTTATTCCGCAATCTGGTTAGATGGTCCAAGAAATCTATGGGATAAATATTATACTGACTGGATTAGAAATGGCCCAATAGAATGTGCATTAAAAAGGATTGGAAATTCTCATTCATAAAGCACAGAATGCTTGGACAATGTAATATACACGTATACTTTATATGATATGTTTAACGTTAACTCTTAAATCTATCTTAAAAAGGGGTTTCAGAATTAAACTTTGTAAATTTTATTTTGATAAATAAGATGACGTATTATTTTGAAATTAAAATTCGAATACACTTATTTATATGACCTTCCTTATTATAAATTATTTTATTGTTAATCGATATTGCTTCTAATACCGTTTTATGCTTAACATGCCTAAAATTTCACATCGACAGCGTCAAATTAAGCAAATAAGTAATCTTTTAAAGACATTTATGAACGAATATTCAACTAGCATGAACAAAGCTATTACTAAAGTTCTGGATAAAAAAATTGACGAACTATTCAAATTAATGCAAGCCATAGAACTAGATCGATATCTTACTATACGTGTAAGGACAATTAAAACTAACGATTTTTTTCAAGTTCTTTTGCTTAACTATAATGATTATAATTTTAAGAAAATTACTAGGGTTAATAAAGAGACATTCTGGCATATAGAAAGTTCAATTCGTAATAATCCTGTTTTTTTTTAAATAATTCTAAACATTTACAAAAACAAGTTTGGCAAAAATTGGCAGTAACTTTAGAGCGCTTAGGTTATAATGGAAATGGTGCTTCTGTAGGACGATTTGCTAGACGGTGGGGCTTAAGAATTGGCTCTGTGGTTTAGTATACAAAACGCATAGTAACAGCTATTAATTCAATTGGAAATAATTATGTACAGTAGCCTGATTCTATTGAGCGACAACAAATTAGTAGTAGAATAAAGGTTGTGTTGGATTTCTTGATGGAACTGATGTTGTAACTTACTATAATAGAAAAAAGAGATACAGTATGCTCTAATAGTGCAATTAATTTCAATAAATAATTTGAGCGAAGGTTCAGTAAGTTATAAAAAAAAAATAATTTGAGAATGGTTTAATAAATGATTTGAGCGAAGGTTCAGTAAGTAATTTGAGCGAAAAGTTTTATTATTACTCTGTATTTTGTTATTAAATAGTTTGTTGATCTGCATAATAAAAAAATTTTTACTTATTTCGTCAAATGGGCGTCTCTAAACACTCCCATTTCATTTTCCGATTTCAAAATTTTGATACACAAATAAGATTTTTTAAACGCTTATTTATTTCCAAATACGCTATATTTTTTTTAATTCTGAAACCCCTTATATCTTGGGCCTAGTAGATCAAACATTGTGAAAATTGTAAATAGTTGAATAATTTTTGTGATATATTAGCAAAATTTCCTTTAATACGTACTGCACTTACTGTCGTACTGTACGTACCATGCATTCTTTTATTTATGAGTACTACCAAGGGAAAAGGGCTACTTTAGACTTTTTAAATTTTTTTTTTGATCAAAGATATCTCAACAATTACTTGATCAAAATTGATAATTTTTTTATTAAATTTTACAAATTTGTAGAATTCAAATAAAAAATTAACATCAATTTTAATCAAATAATTGTTAATAACTTTGATTAAAAAAAGTCTAAAGTAGCCCTTTTCCCTTGGCAGAACTCTTATGCTATATCGATATGGATTAATGATGCCGACTAAATGTTTTAACATCACAATGTATGGATTTCTCACGTGATAAACCTTATTTAACATATATCGTAGTTAAAATTGTAAAAGATAGAAATAGATATAACTAGAGATGGGCAAATTGCGGTTTCTCCGAAAATCCTGCGCGTCACGCGCGGGATTTTGTGTCTGACAAAAAAACATGCAGAAATTTTTGCCCGAAAGTCAATTTTCTTGTTCTGCCGTAAATTTTCGAAATTCGGCACGAATTAAGCTAATGCGGGCCAAAATTCGAAATAACGCTCATGCCAAAGGTTGTATAATTATGGTAAGTTACCGATGAAAGTAATCTTTAAATGAACATTTGGTACCACTAACAACCCTGCCCATGCCCGCTATTTCGAGTACGCATTTAGGTAAATATGTTAACACAGGCCAGATATTATATTAATGCCGGCCAGATTATGTGGTAGTGCCGGCCAGGTAATTTTATTTGGGATCATATTAAAAATCCCGCGCGTGATACGCGGGATTTTTTTAGAAACTGCGCGTGCCAATCTCTAGATATAAATGTAGTTAAAAATATTGATTAAAATTAAACTATCTCTGTGATTAAATTACGTAAAAAAAGTCAAACTACTGTATTATAAGTTATAAAATCAAGAAAATTAAATAAATAGGCGTAGCCGGTGATAAACATTTACCGGTAAGCGATATGTAAATAAATATGAATAAATACATCACTTATTTTATCTGAAATCGTGAGTCTAATCATTAATTCTGAAACGCCAATAGGGGGTTTCAGACCTAAGGTTCAGGTTTCTCATTTCGAATTAAATTAGCGATGTATTTATTTTATAATCAGCGATCTACTGTATAGATCCTATTTGTTTTTATTTGCAAGCCTATTTATATAATAAGACATATTATACATCATAAAAAAGTTTGTTTA